TGACACAACAAACATTGCTGTGCTTCAGCTGGCAGTCTTACAGGCGCAAATTGATGATGATTCTTTTTATTTTGTTACGTGTAGCGTTTTATAAATCGTAAGTTTTCCCTACAGTGAAGCTTTAAATGTCACATTTGAAAATAGGACACTCAGCACACATGTGCAGGACTTGTGTGTCACTACTGAGACTCAGACCTGTGTGGGAGTGTTGCTCTGTCTTTTGCAGTTACGTGATTGTGTTGTGAATCTGATGGCTGTCTGGTTGCTAAGAGAGAACTTGACTCCAGGGAATAATGTCCTAACTCCCATCCACCTCCTCGTCATACAACCCCCATAACATGGAAGCATGAGTTTTGCATGGAACTGCAAGTTCATATTCTCACAACTAGCCGATGTAAAGGATTTTCAAAGCTGTGAGATTCATATAGCGGCGCAACAATATTCGTTGTATGGTGGAGAAAACATTGTGATAAATATTTAAATGATAATGCGTGGAGGGTGTGCTTGTGTGTGGATTCATGTTTATGGCCGTGTGGGTGACCCTGGTGGGACATGTGACAGCAGTGTCCCACTTTATCTAACTAAGAATTGGGAGAAATGAAGCATCTGTGATTAAAGGCAAGCATCACATCACAGCTGTGCATCCGGTTTTCTATAACCAGCTCTTCTCAGGAAGAAAATCTGCAATGCAGTGAAGATGGAGAGTGGAAACAAGCAGAGAGGTAGATGAAAGGCACAAGAAATGAGGGGATATGCCGGGGGAGGCTGCGAGGAAGGAAAAGATGGAGCTTCTTTGATGAGAAGAAACAAGTGCAGAGAGTCCCAGAGAGATGGATGGGCCTTGTGGGTGTACTTAAAGTGTTTCATCAACATGTAATATGGAACTTCAAGATGAAAACTCCATATTCTGTCCTTTAACCGCAACATTTTGCATTTAGCTCAAATTCACTTGCATGAAACCTTCAGCTGAGTTGATCAAGCGTACTCCCAAGCGGGTTATTAACAGTTCCCAAATGCTCACGTCTCTACAATTATCCACATTTGTGCAGTCTGATCTCTTGGCTGTTTCATGCAAGTGCTCTGTATTCTTAAGATTATCTTATGGAATCAATAAACTGCCCTTAAAAAGATATAATATTTGTATTATTCCCTATGCGTCCTCCACATATCAGTATTTGCGTGTCAGGAGGGTGGATTTGCGCTCGTGTTGGGTTAGGGAGCAGTTGTGTAATGGGATAAGGATTTCCTGCCATGTTTGTGGCAGATAAAGGCTCGATTGAGTGACTGAGAAATGGCAGGAATGAAGGAAAGAGCACAAGATAACCAGAGACGCCAAAGGGATAGTGGAGATAACAGATGAAAGGCAGAGATGAAACAGTAAGAAAATTGACACCTCTGGCTGAGCAAAGTCCAATAAGAAGTGTGCAGACAGCAATGACGAACAGTCTTCCAAGGCAACTATAATAGATAATACACATGAAAAAAATAATCATAATCATCTCCAGTAAAGAGGAAGGGAAAATTAAGGAGATGTTAAAAAAGTTAAAAGCAGAGATGGCTTTAATGTGGCAAAAATACTGGAAAAGAGCGAGATGGAAAAAATAAGAGAAAGAATTCGAGCAGTAAGCGGAAGAAGAGGTTCAAGCTCTTCTGATAACAGCTACTCTCTAGAGGCCTCTCAATTAGACTGGTAACCTGGCAACCAGCAGGCAGACAGCGCCCCTCACACACACAGAATAACACACACACACACACACACACACACACACACAGAGGGTTGGTAAGTAGCAAAGGGCAATGGCGAGACAGGATTGAAGAGAAGGAAAGAGTGAGGGGTGTGATGTGACATAAAATTGTCAGAGAGTAGATGAAGTGGAAAATAGAGAGAGGTCAGTGTGGCCATGTATGAGCCCATCTCTTTTTTTAAGATCAGCATCAGTGTTTTGTCCTGCTTTAAATAAGGTGTGGTCCTCTGTGTTTGGAGGTTAGCAGTTTAAATCCTCTTTTCTTCCCTTTGTATTCCCCACATACCATATCAGGCAAGCTCCCACTTAATGTCTGATACCATTAGCCAATTAGGAGGCAGGCTGACCCTGGGAGAACAAGAAAAGCAGCCATTTAACCCGCAGTCATCTGAAGCCATCAATCGATTAAGGTTCTAGTTAGTTTAAAGTCCAAAAAGAGGAAAACATTGTCTCTTTAATAACCAATCATCTGCTAGATCTCCTTTATCTCTGTGCTGCACTTCATTTCATTAAGTGTTTAAGTGAGCCAAAAGCACGCAGACCCTCTGTGTGTTTACTCGAGTCTGAGGTCTCGGTATGCCGCCCTGTTTTCAGATTCTCGTGTAAATCTATAAATCTCGCAGCGCCGTATTGCTGTCAGCAGCAGCAGCAATAACCAGTAGGGTGAAGGGTGATGGGGAGGTTTATCAGCTTGGCCACAGTGTGTCATCCTGGGCTGGAGGAATATTGTCAGCTTGCCAAGGCCTGGAGGTGTGGGGGGGCACTCTCACTGAATGCTGAGTACTCCTACGCGTAGTATTTGTATGTACATATGTATATTTATGTTGGGGCTACATGAGCTCATGCAGTTTTCCAAGCTTGACTGGAAAACGATGGAGAGAGTTCAAGTGTAACTGTATATGAGGTGTGGCCTAATGAATTATAAATGAGAGTACAGTGCTGTAGATCGCACTGGTAGATCATTCCAGCCTGACAGAACCAATCGATAAGTTGGTGCAATAAGCAAAAATCTATGGAATTACTGTCAATATTGTTTTCCATAGTACACTAGGCCATAGACCTTAATACATTATGTTTGTATAATGTAAGTGAAAGGCATAAGTTTACACAGAGATAAACATGTATTTAAACTTATTTCCTTTTCTCTGCTAATACTAACTTGAGCTTTATGTGCTTCTTTTCAAGCTTTTCAAACTTAATGCACAAGCATGTGATGCTGTACAACTTCTTTCCAGTGCTCATGTTGCTTGTTGGGCATGTTTCTGATTTATTTTTTAATCAGTCCTTTAGCAGTACTGGCCCTAAGTCCAGTAAATAAGTAAATAAGGCTTAACTTTTGGACTTTAGATGCATTTTGGTGCAAAGCAGAGGTCTGAGTCATTGTCGGTTTTAAAGCCTTCTTGCTGACAAACATCCCCCATGGGGTAATGTCGTAATTACCCAAGCCAAGATGTGGTCCTGATATATTTATTTATATATGTGGAAAAACTGACACTGATAGTTCAAAACCTCATTTGTTTTTCCTAAGACGTGTCGAGCTCTTCATCATGTGTTTTGGATTTTCGGATGTGGACGTTTTCAGACCTTTTCTTTGTAGCCCGTGTGGAGGTTTTACTTGTGTGGCCCACTTGAGATCAAATTAGGTTGCATGTGGCCCTTGAAATACCTTTCGATTTATCTGGCTGACCTAAATACACCACTGTTTTGGCAGGTTATACTGTAGGTCACACTAAACTCAGGACAGAGCCAACACATAAAAGGGAAATGTTATGAAATTTTATTGAAAAAAATACTAAAAACTTTTGTGCATATCGTATTATTAACATAAAACTCATAACTCATATTCCCTTGCCTATATGGACAGGAAGATCAGAAGGGAAAATAAGAGCATTTCTTTCCCTAAAAGACACCCAGACCGTATCATTTTTGGATTAATTGCATTGCATCATGATGTATGTGCCTGGGATTGCATGAGTTTTGAGTTCCTTAACATCACTCTAACAGTATGTTTAATATTGTGCAATTTACCAGAATTGGAGCTCCCTCAAAAGCATGCCTCAGTGTGAGTTTTGCAGACTTCCCGATGGGCTGCCCTGTGTTCCTTTCACAGCCCAATTTGTTTGGAACACAGAGCATCACCATGGAGAAATTCTTACCACGTTGCTATGGTAGCAGACCCCGTTCTTTTCCTCCTCTTTCCAAAATAAGATCAGATCAGATGAGAATATGTGGCGTTACTTTCAAACGTGTCAGTAAAACTGGTATGATAATGACATACAGATATTAGAAAGATGATAAATAGTAAAGATGTGATTCTACAGCATGTGCACAGGCATGCGTTTGTTACTATTATCTTTGTGAGGACATTGGAATATTATGTATTTCCTAAAGCTAAACCTTTATCCTAAAGCCAGGTCTTACCCCTTCAACACACCTTGTGAAGTGTGTCAGAAAATGACGAGCAACCAGACTGTCCTAAGTGTCCTCACCCCTAAGTTCTCAATTCTGTATTGGTCCTCACAAAGATAGATATACAAGTACAGAAACACACATAGCGCCACTGGCCTTGGATCCCAGGCGTACAGGAGGTGCCAGGAACCCTCTCCCACAGTCACCCTCTGTTCACTTGGAACAATAAGCCTTTCTGTGTGTGTATGTGTCTCTCTGTCTTTCATACTCGCTCTCTCAGCTGGCCATAAAGTCAAGTCATCACCTATACTAGAAGAACTAACTTGCATGTGTGCAGCCTCGTGTGTGTGTGTCCTAAATGTAGCTTAAAGTACCCACAGTTCACTTCGCCTTTGAACTGTCAGTAGGGAATGTTTGCACTAGTGAGTGGATGTGCGTTTGTTTGCCTCCTTTGCCTAGGTAGACCAGGTAACCAATTCCTCCCAGCCTTCTATCACACTTGAATCAGCAGTGACTTCACCTTCACGATGAAGTCAGCCTCAGTAATGAAGTCGAGATCCAGCGGGGCAAACTCTGCCCCACCCTCTAACTCCAAACAGGCCGCTCTCGCTGACGGCTACCACTGGCTTTATCAGCCTGCGCATGTATGTGTGTGTTGCATGTATTGTCCCCAGCAGCACCCCAGTGTGGGTGGATTCAGGAGACAGCCAGACAATTCGCTGTACTCTGCCCATAATCCACAGGGATCAACACTGAATCAAATCCACTTCCTATTTTTTCCACTTAACCCTTCTGTGTGTGTGTGTGTGTGTGTGTGTGTGTGTGTGTGTGTGTGTGTGTGTGTGTGTGTGTGTGTGTGTTCAAAAGCTCTTTGATGTTATCATCCAATTGCATTATTCCCCAACTGTCTTCCTCTTTGATATTTTTTCTCGTGTTATTCTCATCTGCGCGCTCTCTCTGAGCAGAGAAACAGATGAATGTGACTCATGTTCATCAGTACCACTTGGCATTCTCTTCCCTCTCGTCTTCTCCTCTCAATCCTCGTGTACCCCTTTGTCCTTGGCTGGGTATTTTATTTCTTATCTGATATCCTTGTCTTTCATTTAGATCCCTCACTGTTTAGCGTGATACATCATCTGAAGCCACCTGTAGGCGGTGGTTTAATGCTTTAAAAAATTTTAAAAAAAAAAACTCTATTTAACTTTCATGTCTACTCTGTTTGAGATCAGGGTTAGCTTGTCTAATTATATAAAGCTTTTAAGGGTACCATAGTTTCAGTTGTTGTTCCTAATACGTAATAATGATTTTAAAATACTGCTGCAAATATATCGTGAATATCTTAAGCTGTTTTCCCACATGAATTACAAAGAATGTTTGAAAGATTAGAGTACGTATAATCCAGTACACACAAACATGAAATACAGTAAACAAAACAAAAAGTTACCTTGAATTGTGAGGAAAAAGGTTCAAATTATAATGTCAGATGGAGCAAATGGTCATTATGATCTTCCCCCCAACCTGCTGAGGGTCCTGGGCAATTGTGCCCTTGAGATGACCCTCATTTCATACAGATTCTGAAGGTACAGTAACTAAGGATGGCACTGGATCCTGCATGGTCACTAATGCTGTTTGATACACCCTCTAGCTAGCTAACACCCTCCACCTTCAATCAGGCTGGAAATTTATCCAAGTTATCTTATTTCTCATCTAGTACACTAACTACTGGAAATGATTCTCGTGGCCTGGGAAGGCCTTATAGAGTATACGAGAAGCAGCACACATGTTACAAGGTAACATTGCATGTGTAAAATACCTTTCACTTCTGGGATATTTCAGATTTCCACCTTTGGAAATACAAAGTTTGATGTATCTTGTTTTCCATTAAATAAAATAAAACAAACCTCTAAAATACAACTGTGTATTGAATGCACTGTGCCTGAAAAATTTAACAGGAAGGAGTAAAAACAATAACATCAGTTGTAATCTGTCAGAGATGTGCTGGCATTTCGTCATTATGAAGTAAAAATATAAGTGAGTACCAGATTTGTCATTCTAAGTTCTTGTCGTACCGGCCATTTTTCTGTGTAACCAGCTGACGGTGTGTGTGTGACTGCGTGTGTTTGTGTGAAGTCATGTTCCCTGCAGTGTGAAGCTGCAGCCATATCTGGATATAATTTTCTGTCTGGGCGGCTATGACAAATATATGAGTCACGGGTCAATAACGTCTCACAAAGATGAGATCATTACACACCATGGAGAGCTCAGATTGAAATTGTAAGTCACCGATACAAGGCACAAGCAATCTTTGTGTTTATGAGTGAGTGAGTGACTGTGTGTGTGCTTGTGTGCCAGACTAATGGTCTATTGTGCTCTGTCAGGGTTTATTTAGCTAGCCGGGGCTGTGGGGTTTGCTGGCTTTGGAGTCTGGACCAGGCACTATTTTTACCTTAGCAGGAAGGGAGTACACCACCTTCTCTGTTACATATGCTCACTCTTAAACATTCATTCACCTTCAGTGTATAGTCTGATTTGCAAAGTTTTATCATACGCAGAAATCCTAGGTGGGACAGACTGGGAAGAAATATAAAGAGCGAGAGATGACGTCCAGGAGGGCTTTTAGACACAACAAAAACCATCGAAAACACACATGGGCGAGCACAGTCCCCTACACACACATACTGCGGATATCCCTGTCCCATCGCTGAGGTGTCTCTTTTCAAACTGGTGGTGAGCAGCTGCTGTCCTCATGTCAGGGCATGAAGATGAAACAAACACCCGTCTGAGTTTCTCTCCTCGCTCTCTCTCTCTCTTTCCTGTCCTGAGCTGTGAGAGGCTGCCCTGGCCAGAGGGTGGAAGGTAGGGAGGGTCTAAAGGGGCTTTACCTCTGACAACTATGCTTTTTCAGTCCTGTGGGAGAGGCGGAATGAACCTATAGACCGAGCGTGCAGAGTATTCAGAAAGTGCAGGGAAGGAGAAACAGCGTCACAACATGTTAGGGTAAGACGAGGAGAAGACACCAGTAGAGAAGTAGATAGGGGTCAGTTGACTGGGATTATGATGCATTTTGACTGGACTAAAGCTCAGGAGTCAGTGTGGACTACAACCTACTGACTGGGACGTAGAAGGGAAAAGACAGGAAAACGGAGAAGGAGAGAAGGATGAGGGAGGCACTGGATAAAACGGATGTATGTGGAGGGGTGGATGATGTCATCAGGCAAGCCTCCAGTCTCTACCTCAGTGATGATTATAAAGAGGTAAAAGAAAGTATGGAATCAAATTTTGATCATTAATTGCATGATTTGAAAGTGTGTGAAGTCAGCAGGTGGATTATTTTAGGTAATATCCATCCCCGTGGTTATGTTGGAGGTTTCTTCTACTTCGTGTCTGCCAACTTAAACCACTGAACATACTTTTGTTCTGTTTTGTGACAAAAATAGAAGTTCAAACTTAATGCAAAGTGTAAAAGCGCTACTACAGAGTTCGGAGTTAACTCAGTTCCTAATGCAGCCATCTGTAATTTATTTATAATCAGTATGAAATGTTTTATTTGTTTAATCCAATCCAATGAATACACTAAATTGTGCGTTTCATGATGGCCCATTAACCTCACTGTGAGTAAAAGCCTTCATAAAGTGACTCCACCAAGTTATTCTAGACCTTTAAAGGCACTTATTTGGGAAGTTATTTGGAGGTCTTAATTTAACTTTAATGGTCATGGGGAGAAAAAAAACTACAGAATCTGCTTAAAATCTGATAAAAATGCTTCAAACGTTTTCCTGATTTAGGCCCAAAATAAAGTTTTTAAAAGCTCATGTGCCCTGAAAGTTAAACCTCCACCTCGATCTTTGGTGGAATTTTCCCACAGATTTCAGTTCAGGGATCCTTTGAGTGCTTTGATGTCTTTATTAATATAATAATGTCTCTTACTGCAACTGGCTCAGAAATAGTCCAACGCAACACTGCACTGTGTAAGTCTGACATCACTAGTTCAAGGATTTGCTCTAGAGAGAGAGCTAATGGGCTAATAGTTTTTGTTAGTTCCCAGTCTCCTCGGTGAACTAACTCACCTTCATACTGAGCAGAGACGTGATAGTGAGTTTCAGCTTCTGATTTGATTTTCAGCAAGAAAAGTAATAAAAAAAAAATCCAAATGGCTGAACTTTCCATTTAATCCACTTTTGCGTGTTGTGCACAGCTGTGAATGCAGCTCAAAGACCGAGGCTGATGTAGTTTGGGCGTTGAAGCACTTACGTATTCGGGCCACCGTTATGACAAAACAGTATGAGGAACCAGGATTTTATTCTGTAACTTTGCTGCACTTTGCTCTACAAATACTCGGCCCTTCTGCTTGAAAGAATGCTCTAGTGTCACATGGTGGACCCATTGTCCTGTCCAAACCCACTTCATGCTCCTTATCTCTTCTGCCTCCCTTTGTCAGTCTCTCTCCCCCCCCCCTTCTTTTTTTCCTTTCTCCCACCAAAACCCTCCCCCACCTCTTTTACCCCACATGAACATTCATGTGTAGCCCAATGCCACTTGTTGAGTTGTTCCCTTCCAATCTGAGTGACAGGAGCAGCCTTGCACTGACCTGCAGCTGAACTATACGGGGGGTCAAAGGTGAGGTCTCTTATCTGTATGGAATGTTCCACTGCCTGGACAGACGGGTCTCAGATAGCATGAGAATTGAAGAAAGTCTTACACACACAAGCACACACCTCTTTAGAGACATTTAAAGAAATCTGTGCGCTTCCTCTGCTGCTGAGATGAGAATATCACTGCCGTGTAGATGGGAAGGCTCTTCCAGTAGTCAGTCAGTTTAGCCTACAGGGTGTAAAGCTGTCCTCATAAAGCAGGTGCCATCCTCAGAAAGTCATTGTATAACTGTATGCCAAGAAGACCACGAAGATTTGACACTTTGTTCACTTTGATTTATTTAGGGGTTACAAAATCTCATGTGCTATTTTGCTTTAGATATGCTTCTAAGTAGCTATGCTGTATAATGGATTACCAGCTGCTGGACATGCACTCACTGTTTTCGATCTGTAATTGTACATTACAGTGGTACAGACAGTGCAGACAAGCAAGAAAGCAAAAATAGAAATGAGCATTTTCCCCTCAATGTTACATTTTAAATTTTAAATATAGTCAAGTTGATCCAGTTTTACTCTAAGCCTGCAAGAACATCTGTGTGAAATGTGAAAGTATGTAGCACAGTCATAACAACTGGCTCACACAGAAGACTTTTTGGCCTTGTTTCTGTTTGTAAAGCTGAGGGTTCAGCAGCATCCCACTGTTAGTCCTGGAAAATATATGTGAGTGAAGTCATCCCTGTTTGGATTCACACCATCACACAGAAATTTCATAACGCAGCAACGCACACGCACATCGACACAGCACCTTCGCTGAAAACAAGCACTCAGTCATGCCCAGGTGTGCTCCACTGTCGTGCATTTACTAATAATATACATGAAGACCTGAAGTCTGTGCTCACAAGAACGGAATTTTTGTGCAAGTGCATGTGTGATAACAGTGGGTTCTTGTTCTCAGTCAGGGAGTAAGGTCCGGGTCACTGAAAAGACTCCATTGTGCAGAAAAAGAGAGACCACTTTGTAAGGAATTGTGTGAAAAGAGATGAAGAAACCTTGTTGAGCACTCCTCAGCCAAGGCTAATACCATATGTCTCAAATTCAACAAAAGTGATCCCCATCTGTTCCAAACTTTAATATGCACTTCCCTTGCTCCACCTGTCCACCAAGTCTCCAGACACTCAGCCTTCGCAAAGGAGTGAAGGGGTTTATAAGTTTTAAAGAAACACTATCTACCACATATTTTAATTTACAGTAAAAGAAGGCTTTCAGAGACTGAAATCAGAGAAAAGTCAAGCACAGCTCTACTGATTCATGCACATCCGCATTTATATGTAAACACGTCTCAGATCTTAACCACTGAAAAAATTCTGGCCACGAGAGCCAACAATTTTGTGGGAGGCAGAAGGAGGATGCTCTTTGCTGGTGCGGATAATTAAATTCATCTCCCTTCTCTAATATAGATTTTCAGGGAAGATTTGAAGGCTCAAAACAAGCACCCTGTCGTCCACTGCCAGGCCTAAATCCCCCTCTAGGCCTGCGGATGAATGGTTGTACTGCAGAGTGGAGAGGAGGAAATGCCTTTGTCAATGAGGGTTTTTTCAGCAGAGGAAATTGCTTGGTGATTTTGAGGAAAAACAGAAATTAGTCCAATTGTGTTGGTCCCAATCTAATTTGGAAAGTGATGGCTCTAGTGTTTAGGCCAGGAACTGATGGAGGTAGTTAGGATGATCTCTCATTCGGTGTCTCTTACTCGTTTCATGCATTAAAATGTTAATGTAATGGATCCAGCAATTTTCCATGTCATCATCAAGTGGAAATGCTCATTTGCGCTTTGTGGATTTTTAGTTTTTCTTCTTTCTTTGGGAGGATATTTAGCAGAAAAATTACAGAGTAAAGCGCACCGAAGAATGTTTGAATAGCAAACCTAATGGAAAGGGTTTGTGTGCCTGGAGCCTGTGACTTGCAAGGTTTGCTTGTCATTCAAAAGTCACACCTGTAAGAGGTGGAAGTGAATATGGAAACTGTGACAGGATGTGATAGCTTCCTGTGTTTGAAAAGTATGTAATTAAACTGATTTTCAGTCAAGGGAAAAACTGAAACTAATATGAAATATTAACATTTAAAGAGAAAAAAAACATGCACATTTTTTTTCTGCCCATTTCCCACTTCCTCTTGTTAGTTGCATATTCAACACCTTTCTAAAAGGTTTATGGATCTCTCATGATGACTGTTTTACCACCTGCACGCACACACAAGCGCACAACGCAAACAAGCAGTATAACAGATGACGCCTATTCAATGAAAGGAAGTTGTTTTGTCAGGCAGGTGTCAGGTGCAGAGCTTTGCAGAGCCACATCTGCGTGATGTAGTCGTCTACTGTCACCAGGGGGCGATGTCAACAATATAACAGCCAGTAATGTGGGCAAACAAATGTGAAACCAATATGTAGTGCGTTATGGTGCTCGCCGAAGAAATGAGAATTTGTCAGGGTAAGTTCACCAGATAAGAACTTATCAGTCACAAGTCGTTAGCCAGTGACCACGCAGTGTCAGATCCACACACCTCACATTATCACCACCAGCAACACGCATGTGCGTCTCCATAGCCTCTGGTTGGTTGGATTGTAATAATCCTTTCCTCTGTGTAGCCAAAGAGCTATGCTTACGGACACAAACACAACAACATTAATCCGGCTTTAATCCAACTGCAGATCAGTGTTACAGTTTGACTCCCAGAGATTTTCCCACTTCTTTATGGAACGTAATGTTGTTTTGTGTGTCTTCATATCAGTTTGGACAGTGCATCACGACTATACCTGCCAGGGGCGTAATTTCCAGGGGGGTTAGGGGGGTTATGACCCCCCCAATAATCAGACCCAGCCAATATAACCCCCCTAATAAAATTAAGAATTATCTTGCATTAATAGGCTGTTTTCTTAAACCCGCTGGTCTGCTTCTTTCCTCCTTGTTTTATACCATATAATTACCAAGTGGATATCTTTGTGTTCTGCAGTGTTAGTCAGACAGACAACACGAATGTGAAGATGTAACCTTGAATGAATTGAAGGATTTCTTGGCTGACTGAGAAAATATTCAGATTAAAAACAGCCCTGGCTTTCCTGTATTCATTGTTTGCATTATATAGAGTCGAACCAGCTTAAGAGTATAACAGTAAAACTCATAAGCAGTGCTGTTAATTATTGCTCTTGAATATCATCAGTAACCAGCGTGTCCTTGGGCATCCCTGTTGCACATTATTGCAGCATATGCTTTGTCTTCTGCATCACTAATGTATTTAAAAAAAAACTCTGAACTCTAATGACTGGACATTAAATGTAAATCTGTGCTGCTGAGCTGAATAGTAAAACATTACTAAAAACTGGATAAACACAAAGCTGTTAAATAGATCTGCATCTTTATTTCCACCTACAGTCTGCTAACAGACGCCCCATAAGGTCTTCAGCATGTCTTTACCTGTTGTTAAGGTGACATTAATAACATCCAAAATATCCCCTGAGCCTTCGTGAAGAATTCCTTCCCACCCATCCCTCATTTTAGTCTTTTCTTAGCTCTCACCACATGAGCGGAGCATGCAGTTACCGATGCTCAGTGAGCCTGCTGCTTTTGATTCTTACCTTTGCTTGGAGCTACTGTTCAGTGGAGTAACATGAGTGACAGCTTTGTTGCAGTCAGTATGAGTGATGTGTAGTATACGTGTTTGACCTGCACTGTGCCACACAGGCTGCTGTTGCACCTTTGAAGCGGTGAATTGAAACTTTCAAGTGTGTTCTCCAGGGAGTGTCTCAAACAGAGCAGTGCCAGGTCCGCTCCTCAACATGCCAGTGCGTGTTTATGTGTGTGTGTGCTCACTGCACAAGGAGTGTCTTGCGGCCTCTTGTGTGGAGTGGGATTATGTTAATATGTTAATTTGTCCTCAGTGAAGGCACTCTCACCAACGCCTGCACGCAATTGTCAAGAGAGATAGGCAGTGAGAGAGGAAAGGTGGGAGAGAAGGAGTTGAGAAAATGAGTGGGAGAGCGGTGAAGGTGTGATGTGCGATTTGGAGTAGCGTAACGAACAGAGTGAACGCAGAGAGATCGTTTGATGGAAGGGTTAGGACGGGCCTGAGGATGAAGATGAAGAAGAAAGCATGTAAATGGAAACAACAAGACAGATGAGCAAGGTGAAAAGTTTTAAGATGGTTTGCATGAAAATAGGAAGGAGATAAAGTAATGGACAAACTCACAAAGACAGGAATAGTGACTATCAGTCAGGCAAACACCACAGGTATCTCTTTCCTGCTTAGCACATTCTCACCTCAATCTTACGCTCTCCCTTTTGCCAATTTGCCTTTTCTAAGACAGAAATACAGGCCAGAAATATGGGAAAGAGAGGGACTACGACAGAGCAGGAATGTAGCAGTTACATGATATATATCTTAGCACAGTACCCTGGTTCCCATAAGACGTTAATATGTCATCATTATGGATAGCTTTGCTGTGCACAAACCAAATAGTTTATTTAACCTCAAATCATGTAAAGCTTTGTTTTGTAAACCTTTCCCTCCCTTCAGGTCCCCAGACTCCCATTTGAGAGAAGGACGTTTAAGCACTGCAGTGTTTGGGGCAACTGTGTATCAAACAACCTGCAAAAAATTCTGCAGAGCTTGTCCTTCAAAAATGTGACGCCACAGTTTAAGTGGGTCACTAGTAGCGTGCATCTCTGCCTGCTGTGTTCACCTGTTGTCAGCAGAGGCGAGATGGGTAGCTGGTGCGATTTTGTATGAGCACCACCCGTGCTGAAGCTGTCCTGAGCTACGGGAAGAGGCAAGACAAGAGAAACTCTGAAACTGTGTTGTTTGGAATTTCTTGCACCTTTAATTATGCATGAAATGTGCATTAGAGTAATTTCTCAGGGGTTTATTCTATATAAACTCTTGCACGTTGTCTGAGATATCAAGTGTTGTTCTCTGAATCAACAGTACCACCTCCTGGTGAATCCTGGTACTGTCAACTTCTGAAGCTCTAATATTTCAAAAACAGGTTGTTGTTTTTTAGTAAATCAGCCTACACCATGCTTTGTATCAAAGTTGGCTAAGACAGATGCTGCTATAGATATGCTTGCATCTTTGGTTTGTACAGTCAGAAAGTGATCAGGGTGGCACTGCTTTCTATCTGTGCATGTCCTGCGGGATGAAGCTTACTAAAGGGGAAGACACTTGGCCTAATTTCGAAACTGCAATATCAGTCATCAAAAAGATCACAAAAAGTAACCAAATCCTGTTATTTTACTGTTGCAGGCCCAGAAGAATGAGCGGGAGTCTATCAGGCAGAAGTTGGCCCTGGGCAGTTTCTTCGATGATGGGCCGGGCATCTACACCAGCTGTAGCAAGAGTGGCAAACCCAGTTTGTCCTCAAGGTAACACAGCTGACATCTCTCGTATAAGCATGTGACTAACACTTGGAAAGTGTTTGATTGTGTGCGGTTTGTTGTTCGTTCGTTTGTTTTGTTGTTTTATTTTGAAGTGTGTGTGTGGAGGGTGTTATGCGGTCACATAATTCTCTAAATGTGAAAGTGCGCTGAATCAAAATGTATATCCATCAAGTTCTCTTTACTGTCATTGGCAGCTGAGTGGGGTAATGTCATATAGTCAGACCTTGTGGTTTTTCACTTCCCAAGAAAATACCAACGTGTGTATGCACAGAAACACACACACATACACACACAACCTCCTACTTGTACCTTACTGGAACTGCAGTGCTCATCGTATCCCCGTGATTCGAATCAAGTGGATTTCTCATTATTTGTGGTTAATCGTCAAAGGGCAGTATTGTGCAAAATAAGATGCACTCATCAGTTTGACATTAACACGATGTTCTCGAGTAAACCCTGAAATGAGGAGCTTAGTACATTTATGAATTTTTCATATTGGAGTACCAAAAGACTGTTTACATCTTATGACACTGTCTCAGGCATTTCCATCTCTTTCTACTCAGTGCTAATTGTCAGCTGATATATTAACCAATGCTAATATGTCTGAGCCAGATTTATATTGCCAAGCACTATATATATATATACACATATGTCAGCCAGGCCCTACACTGTTTATTGCTGAACTTCAGTGTATCGTCTCCTGGTTGTCAAAAAGTCACTTTAGTGGTCTGTGCAATTCAGAGAGTGTTTTGATTCTCCTTCTCTCACTCAAAAAACCAACCAGCCACTCAGGTCCTATTTTTATTGGGACTGATTGGATCTATGCTATGTAATCAATCACCTCTGTTTGTAATTACTCTATTGAATTAAGCAGATTATTGATCCACAGTGGGATGGAGCTACACCTTGCGACATTCTGTTCTTCCATGGCACAAATACACCCCCTCTGGTCCAGGCAGATTGCAGCAGACCTATCTGAGGCCACCTGGATCGATGCAAAGGGGAGATGATTAAAAACAAGAGCTCTCTTTAATTTCATCTTCAGCTGGCACTTTTCTCTGCTCATGAAGGGCACTTGTTTCTATTGGGATCTTCTTTCTTATTCCTGTATTTCTGTGTTTTAGCACATCAAAGTTTGTGTTTGCTCTCTTACACTCGCAGCACTCTTTGTAAGAGCAGCAGTGCATCAGTGTTCATTTTGGTGTTGCTCCAAGTCTGCGTCAGTCACTGCAGAATCAACTAACAAGTGAACCAACTTAACGCCCGCTTTGTGCTAATATTGTTTTTCTCTGTGTTTTCACGCCTCTCTTTCAGGCTGCAGAGTGGGATGAACCTACAAATCTGTTTTGTCAACGATAGTGGCAGCGATAAGGACAGCGATGCAGACGACAGCAAGACGGAGACTAGCCTGGACACACCTCTGTCCCCTATGGTATGCACAGATGCCCACACGTCCACCACTGAAGCCCGTGGCAAAATTCAAAAATGGAGAAGAAAAAAAGGACTTAAATCCTGATATCACTATGCGATGTAATGATGATGTGAAAGTAGCAAAGTGTAAAGATTTGATTGTATCAACAGAAAATCAAGAAATAATAAGAATGAAAGCAGATTAGTGGGAGGGATAGTGTGTTCAATATGAATCAGAGAGATAACTGGCAGTTTAGCACCTTTATGAATTTCTGTGCTCGTGTTTTCTGCGCTGTTCACCAGTTCACAGTTCCAAGGAAAAGCAATTTGGTAGGTGCTCGCTGAGGCCACGGATGACTGGCTGCAATAACCTGTTATCACACTGAGACATACTTAACAAAATGAGAGGGAGAAAGATCAAATTTGAGCCTTGTGTCGCACCCATGTGCATAATGACACTCTCATCAGTGTTAAAATCTGCATACCAAAATGCCAAGAAGTCATGAGCGTTAACTCCTTATTACTTCCTCTTTCTTGTGTGATCCATACGTTATTTTCCCTCTAACTTCCAATTGTGTCTCCTCTCTCCTTCAATTATCCAATTCCCATTTTACCTACTCCCTACCTTCCTCCTCCCTGCAGTCCAAACAGAGTTCTTCCTACTCGGACAGGGACACCACAGAGGATGACTCGGAGTCTCTGGAGGACATGGACTTCTTGAGTCGACAGAAGAAGCTGCAAGCAGAGGCTAAACTGGCCCTGGCTATGGCCAAGCCCATGGCCAAGATGCAGGTGGAGGTTGAAAAACAGAACCGCAAAAAGTCACCAGTGGCTGACCTGGTCAGTTCCAGAAATCCGAGGCTGTCTGTTTAGCTGTTTATTCATTTATTTCCTTTTTTTGTGTGTTACTCATACAATCTTTGACCTTTCACAAGTCATGGCATGACGGAGTGGTGATTAAGCTCTACACAATTATTATTAGACTTAAACTTTCTTGATTAAAATTAATTAGTTTTTTAAAAAACAGGGTGATGATGTTGTCAGTGTGATTTACATTTTCTCTTCTGGGGTCCAAAGTGGCCAAAACATCATAAATATTATTATTACAGGACTAAAAAGACCACTTTTAACAGTGTATGGATCTAACAGCTGACTTCTGACTCACTCAAGCGGGTGACTTCTTTAAGACACTATACATGCTGGAGTGACCCTTTTTAACTAAAGTAGCAGCTGAAAGATGCTCGTGAAGCTCATGTGAACAACCTTAGTTACTTAGAAGCTTTTCTACTTTTGCTCAGAGAAGGTTTAGAGTATGTCTAGGCCATAAATAATTTTATTTATCCAAGAGTGAAAGCCTAGAGAAAGTGAAAAATGAGCAGTTTAGGTGATGTCCCTGAGGACTGACACTTTTACTGTTTGCTAATAATCAGGGGAAGACGCGTCTTGTAGCCCTCTACATGCTCTCTCTCAGTGGCACTTTTCTGACACGGCTTACGCTGGGATGTAATGGAAACAAATACCAGTCAAAGCCCACCCACCCCTCCTCTGTTTCCTCTCCTCTGTTTCCTCTCCTCTTCTTAAAGAGAGGAAGGTGATGACAGCCCTGCTCATCATTATTTCATTCATTTATGTCTGCCCCGCTGCCTCCTCCGGAGCACGTACACCAAGGGACACTCACACATCCACGGTGTCACAGATGCACACTTTGTTTCCACGCGCACTTGAAGTCAGAACTTTTTTACTTATTCAGAAACGAGAAGGGCAACTCGCCCGGGTCCATCTATAATTCATATGCTAGAAAGCATCGACTTTGGTGTTCAGGGATGTAGCAGTGCTCAGCAGTCAGAAGACATCACCGTCACACGCGGACACGACCCGCAGTGAATTTTAAAATGTTTTAAGGCTACAGCTGCCCGCCTTCTCCGCAACGCCAGAGATCTGTTAAACTGCGTTCATTACAAATGTAAAGTGGTGAACGGTGATTCCCAGCTAAGAGCGCTTTTACCACAAGTGGTTCATCTGCAGGCCTCAACTAATTTGAAAAGTGTAAAATTATAATTTGTTTAAAAAAGACGTCCTTTAAGATATCATTACAAATTAGTGTAATGCGTATCTTAGTGAGCTGAGGCAGAGGAAGTCAGAATAAACTACACCCTGTTTAAATTCTAAGGTTTTACATATTAAAAATAATCTGGTCCTTAGCCGTTCTAAAATTTAGGTAAATATCTCAGGTGAACAAACTATGACATGTTACACTGTGTCACTATGTATTTAATATAAAACTGAGCCAACATGTCAAAGCAGTGTGTGTGAAAACGTAAGAACACCCTTAATGCTTCCATAGGAATTAAAAGTGTAAGCAGCAGCAAGGTGCATGTGATTAACGTCATCAGCACGTGTGAACAAATCTGTGAAGTTTCAGGTGTAGGTTAGAGAAATGCCAAGGAGGAAAGACGTAAGGAATGACCATGCATCATTCTAAGAAAGATTATTCACAAGTGGAAAATACTGAAGGCAGTAGTCAGTCGTCTCAAGAGTGGATGTCCCAGGAAATTCACCCCAAGGTCAGACTGTGCAATGCTGAGAAACTGTAAAACCCCCAAAGCCACAGCTCAGACTCAGTCAGTTAGCATAATAAATGTTAAAGTTCATCACAACAAAATCAGGAAAAACACTGAACAAGTACGGCTTATTTGTAAGGGTTTTGGGCAGCAAGGCTCTTCTGTCTTTAAAAAGAAAAAGGGGAAATGCACTTTTTCAGTTCAGTTTCATTTATATAGCTCCAAATCACAACAGCAGTCGCCTCAAGGCGTTTTATTTTGTAAGGTAAAGACTCTGCAATTATACAGAAAAAGCCCCATCAATCATAAACAAACAAACAACAAAAACCACGACAGCGTGGATTATGTTTGCAAAATTACAACTGAACGAACCACAAGACTTGTGGAACAGTGTCCCTTGGACAGATATTTGGCCACAGCACTACATTTGGGAAAGTCCAAACACTGCAAATCAACACAATCAGCACAAACACCTCATACTGTTAAGTCGACCGTGAACTCCTGTGTTTCCCAAAGTATTGTAGATCTAAATAGATCATTTCTCCAACAGCTAAAGCTTGGCATAAAGCAGGTGTACAACAGAAAGGTTGAAAAAGAAATGACTCAAGGTGCTGCAATAATCCCGTGAAGGCCTAGTTTGTACTATGGTATATGTAAAACTTATTGTTATACACAGCTTTCAGTAACCCCGAGTCAGGTGTAGACTTTTAATGTTTTATACACCGTCTGTTTATAAAACCTTAAAGTCAAGACATCTTGAAGAAAACTAGCTTTTCCAAAGCAAGACTGGGTCAAGATAATTAAAGTAGCACTAAAACTCTAAGGATAAACAGGTGAAATAGTTAATTGCTAAATCATTATCCTTCTTTAGCTCTGTGTGGATAAACTAAAGATAAACAGGTGAAATATTAGTTAAAGCTAATAAAGCTAAAGCTACATTACTAACAAACAGTTAAAATATATACGAAGAGTTTTAATATATACCTACAGGTAACAGGTTGAATATAAAATTAAAGATAATCCATAAAGATTTCAAATATGAGCTAAAGCTACTGCGTTTATAGCTAATACCAGATGCTAATACTTCATTACCAACTGAAAATACTACTGGATAAACAACAGAAATGATACGCTAAAAGTAAGTGATGACGTTTCTGATGAAGTGGCCAGACCTGCCACTGGGCAAGAGAAAAGAACGGAAGCTGTGGCCTGTGCAGTGAGATTACACCTAAACGTCTGTCTGCTGGTTAGAGAGCCGTCCTAAAATTTCAAGCAGAATCACTGAGAGAAAGTGAGAAAATGAGTAAGAGGGAAATGGGGGCAATAATTTGTTTCCACTGTAAAGCCTCTAGTTTCGTTCTTGACTTCATTCACAAAGCTTTACAGCTCCTCAATATGACACAGAGTCATCACAGGAAATTATCTTTCTGGTTTTGAATATTCAGATGACAATTAGCAGTACGGTCAGTCTACCACAGAAACTCAGAAGTTGAGTCAGGACTAATACCAGTCTCAAGCCTTTCCCATGGCCCACGCATGCTGACATCACATTTCTCCTTATGTCACTCTCAAGTGACCTTCTTGTACATAGCCAATTTCCCGAAACTGAAACTGACGCATGACAGCCTCATATATACTTGCTCCGGTAGTAATGTGAAAGTGAAATGAGACTACCAAGAAGAGCGAGCCCACGCACCCCTTACGAAAAGAGAGCATGAGTGCGTTCTCTTCGCGTTTATCTCCACTGAGGCTGGAGGTGAAAGTGGGCCACGACCGAGGAAACGGGCACTGGATGCAAAGATAAAGAATGCAGACTGGTTGACACAGATTGTTAAGAGAGGCAGAGACAGAGAGGAAATGATCCGCCCAGGTGAGCCTCTCTAAGCACACGTGATGCTTTAGTGCTTTATTGCATCTGAAGGAACAGGTGCTAGTGCAAGGAGATTCTGATATACACAAAACCAGCAGAAAAAAGCCTAAAAAAGTTTCAAACATATATATACATGCACTAAAATGCTACACAGATTCTAGCATGTTAAAAGTAATAGTGAAGGGAGAGTTTAAATATCTAATTTCTCATCTCTTTCTCGTCACTCGTCTTTGATTACGTGCTCGATGTTTGCACTACAGGTGCAACCGACTGTGATTTCTTGCTAACTTGCAGCATCAAAAGGTTCCAAGAAAAGAGAGGTGATATAAATGTAAATTAGACATGAGATGACTCTGTGAAGTAAAAATAATTCAGTGGTCTCACTGTTGGCCCCTGCTGGAGAGACAACAACCCACAGAGACACCGAGTTCATGTGCTGTGGACTTGTATAAGGTGCTGTCAACATGTTTGTGAACAAACAGTAGCGCCTACTTGAAATCCCCCACCTTTACTGCCGCTCAAAGGAAAAACAAAGGGAAATATATCCTTTTGTTTCAGCAGGGAAGCAGGAGCCTGGGATGCATTCATTCCTTTTGCAGAATGCAAACAGAAAGCGTTCAGGCAAAACAGCTGACTCTTTTATTTCCCACTCGGATTCAGTTTCACTGCCCTTATTCTGCTGATAATTCCTGACAGTGTGGGTTTAACCGGGTTCACGTTTGTTTTTCTTAAGGTTGTTTTTTGAATACAAAAAAAGTGTAAATCTAATCAGGCTCAGATGTCAGATTTAAGAGTCTGGGAGCAGTGAATGGCAGATCAGATATTCATAAGATTGAATGAAATCTGCCAATGTTTGAAGTTTAAAATAGAGATTCAATGAAACATAATTCAGAGCTTGTTCAGGTTCGGATAGTACAGAGTCTGTTTTGTTGCAAGAGTTAAATCATTTGACACAAACACTTAAGCAACTGGAAAACAAAACGAGCATTCGTTGTCATCCAGAAGTCAAAATGTTGCATTATTAACTCAAAATTTCAAATCAACGTTCAGAGTAAATATGTAAAAAAATGAGAAAATCCATTGAAATTTTGAGATATTGAACTGAAAATTTATTTTTCTGGTTATTTTTCAGTGGCAGAAACAAGCTCCCACAGTGAAGTTACAATAAACTCAGTAAAACTGAATTTATAATCTTTGGTGATTTAATAAAACTCATTGGAGTTTATGTTGAAATTGAAGTTACATAAGTTAAATTTTATACTTCTATAAGTTATAAAATACCAGCTTTAATTCTATGGGGTACATAATGTATTTCATGTGTGTTTGGGTAAATACTTACAGAGCTATTACCTATTCAGTGTTCATACTGTACTTTAAAAGAGATTGTCAAGAAAAAGAAAACACGTCTAAACATTAAAAGCCTTAAAATATAGCGAGCTGGTAATTCTTAAGTTTATAGTTTATTGCTGCTATCAAAAAGTTATTAAAGTTATGAGTTAAGTATTTGAAAACAGAGCAAATGAGCAAATTGCTGGAGAGCAATTTCTGTGTTCACAAAACAATCAGTCCTTTGGTTTCTGTCGAGGAAATAAATGTGTAGAAAAGCTGCGGTGAGGAACTGAAAACATGTACAGCATTTACCATGTTTTACCATAGAAATATTATTAACCCTTTAAAGCCTGAACCACGAGATAATTGCCAGAAAAATCACATTTGTTTTAAAAAAACTGGAACGTTTATTGAAGCCTCTGAAAAATTTGAAATAAAAAAAATGAATATCAATTTGAATATATGAGTTTTCGCTACATTCAGCATTCGTTTCTTTAAACTGACATAAACATATAAGGGGGTTAAAAAAAATCACTGATGATGTAGAGGTCTCGAAAACTGACGTATCAAATATGATACACTTGGCGTTACAGCGATAAAACGTATAAACATAAAATATAAGACGATGAGGACGAGCCACTTTCCAGTGGCGTGAGGGTGTGAGGGCAATTTGTTTCTAGGTCTGTGTAGTTTAAAGGGTCGGGATCATGAGCTGCAGTCACAGCCTTTATGGAGCTTTTTGCACGTTGGATTTAAGGAATATTAAATGCATCAGTTTTCTGTTAATTTGATCAGTTTGTCATCTGTAAACATTCAAATATAAATATTTTTAAAAAGTAAAGAAGTCAGTTGTGCATTTTGTGCTTTGGTTATTAGCGTGAGGTTTCACTATCCAATTAGGGAAAACACATTGTCTAACAGGGTTTTCTGCTCTTGTTTTTTCTCCCCTACATAACTCTCTGTGTCTATTTCGGCAGCTTCCACACATGCCACACATCAGCGAGTGTCTAATGAAAAGGAGCCTGAAGCCCACAGACCTGAGAGACATGACAGTGGGACAGCTCCAGGTTATAGTAAACGACCTGCACTCCCAGATTGAAAGTGAGTTGACCACACGCCCAGAATACAAACAGAATCACGCTGACCTCTGCTTTCACTTGCAGAAATGAGCAAGAGATAAACTGGGGAAAAACATGCACATACATAGTGACCCCTACCCTTTTTAGTGGATGTGAAAGTACTTTTATATATAAGTTAGTCACTTCAGAGAGTTGTACCAGTTAACAGCTTCCCCTGAGCATTTACTGTTACTGCACGGTACACATCATTGATCCCTGTACTGCTGGATGAATAATCTCGCATCTTACATAAAAAAGTTCCAAAAATCCCCAGGAGTCCAAAAGCACGAGTTTGTTTTTACTTACAAAGCAGACTTTCCCCGTTGAAAATATCTTTAGTTTATGCTTCATATTTTCTGGCACTGAAGGGACAATAGCTGTAACATGTGATATTAAAGACAGCGAGAGCAGCGTGAGTGTGTGTGGTCAGACTGCTGATAAAGTTTTCAGTGGCCATGGTATGAACCCATAATGGGAATTTGAGGGGATCACTTCCAGTGTTTCTTGTAGATTTAGTATCTATTGTTAGGATCACAATGGAATACTGGTATGATCAGTTGTGGTAATTGTGGTGTTTCCCTAGTTTCAGTAGTTTGAATATGAAATTATGCTGTATCATTGTGGTCAGTGACTGTTCCGCCTCTTATCGATCTCTCCAGGTCTCAACGAGGAGCTCGTACAGTTGCTACTGATTCGGGATGAGCTACACATGGAGCAAGACGCCATGCTGGTTGACATAGAGGACCTCACCAGGTGGCAAAGCACTTTTCAACTATTTATTCACTGCACGTCCCACTATTTATTTATTTTTTTAACTTATAAAAAAGAACGCAAGGGATTCATTCATACGCAGATTTTGCAAACTTCAACGGCTCTCTCAGTGGCTGTAAAAGTCTTTGCGCAACTTCTTATCACATGTGAAGTAGTTCTCCCTGAGAATTGTAAACACTTGCAAGCTTTAATGTCTTAAATGTGCAGAGTTCCCCTTTGAGCAAACATTACTCAAATGTGAGTAAGTAATCCATTTGTAAGGGACTGTTTTCAGCTGTGCATGTAGCTCCTGAAGTAAAACTAATGGTGATGCATGTGAAGGTGAACATGCCACCCAATGCACCTAAGAGATTTTAGTAGATTTTCCTTTTTTTTTTAAACCAAAGAAGTTTTTTTACATTTTACACTAAGAGGTCAAGACTTTTCAACTTTTCAACTTAATAAAAAAGAACCTCAGCGATCTAACAGTCCCTTATGAGCAAGCACTTGGGGAGACAGAAACTTCCCTTTGAAAGGAAAAAACCTCTGGCGGACTCAGCAGGTTAGCCAGGGCATGTGGGGATCAGATATTCAGCTTTAGCTGTTGGTGTTGTTCTCTGTGTGTAACCGTTTCTGTCTGTTTGTTAGCGGTCTAGCATCCACACTTTTCTAAATTAGGTGTGATGATCGATACCAATTTGTTGTCAGGGTGGTACCAAATGCAAAAAAATTTTATTAATCATCTTCAAACTCCCCAATAACATACTAGGCTTTGGGGGACATGAAAAAAAGTCAAGAAACCAATTTGAGTAACTTGTTGTATGAAAGGGCGTGGAGAGAGCTATACAACAGACTTTGTGTTTTTAGTATGACGCTCTGCAACGTCATAACAGGCTTGGCTCATCATATTGTGACAAAGTTTTAGTGTGGCCCTCGCTCTTCAGGGGGAGTTGCCCTGCTTGAGTGCTCTTGTTTATCTTTGGATTTGTTGAGTCACTTAATTCATCATTTAAGTGTCAATATAAATATAATATAAAACTTTTCTCTTTCCAGGCATGCCGAGAGCCAGCAGAAACATTTGGCTGAGAAAACCCTATCCAAATAAGATGCCCCCCACCACCCCAACCTCCACCCAAGCACCCCCCACCCTAACACTCCCCACCCTCACCTACAATCCGCTTCCCTATGCCAAGCTTAGTCCCCTGCTCCCAAACAAGCTTTCCCCCTCCAGCCATTCCACCTCTGCCCCGCGTCGATCTGAACCCCTCCCCGCTTGTCCTAAGTACTTTGCTCCTCGCTGCTTCCCTGTCTGCTCCCGAACCTCCCCATCTCCCTTTCTGCCCAACTCACTGACTTCAGCGGTAGCAGCAGCACAGAAGAAGGCCGCCCTCGTTCATTCGCTTCTGTGGTTTTCTCCCAGCGCAAAGGACGGTGTAGCACGTCCTGTTTCCTGGGAGAGGAGGCAACTGATTGTGTGTCGTCATGGATTCTGTCCCCCAGCTTCCTGTGCAGTGATCGGCCTCGCTTTGCTCTCGTTTCTTTTTTTAACTTTCTACATTCACCACTAAATTATGACTGTTCAAGCTCAAAAATTGTGGAGAAAAAAACAAAACAAAATAATAGTGAAAAACTTAGTAGAAAGTCAGTCATGAGATTTAAAAAAAGAAGAAGAAAAATGAAACAACGCTGTATGAGAAAAAAAAATCATGGAAAACTAACTTCAGACCATTTTAAGTTGGACGGTAATTTAAAAGTATTTCAGAGTCGACCCGTTTTTATTCTGCACAAATGGTCGTTTTCAGCTGATGAGAAATGTTCGTTTGAAGGTGCTATAAGAGTGTAAAAGGAAAACATGCCTGCCTTGTAGTGGAGTTGTAGATTTTTTGGTAATACGTTCACTCTAATTGCTCTTCAACATTTTGTGAATGTTGATTTTCTGACACGAGTCATTTTAAATGAATAAGTGTGTTAATATTGTTTTCATCCTACTGTATTCAGATACTTTATTTGAGGGAAGAAATGTTTATGTACAGATATGTAAAATAAAGATTAAACTTTGTTTCATATATGGCGGTTTGCTGTGCACTTCTACTTGCTGCTTTTGCTGCTGCTGCACAACATAGAGATGAAATTGCGCTTTCAGTTGAGCTTCCTCCTTGAGTGCAAGAACTAAAACCTCACAATAGCAGTGAGAGTATATGACATCACATCACACGTAGTATGACTCAACTCTCTTTTTCGGTCTTGCCTCATCATGACACTCGTAGTTCTCACTACGAGGGTTATTGGGGTTGCGTTTCTGCTCTTAAAGGGACTTCATATCAATTTGGGCAACCCCTTTTGGGTCACATTCAGGGATTTTGGTTTCTCAAGAAAAAGGACAGTTTGTGGAATTAAAATATTTAACGAATGGCCACTTGTGGTCCAGTGAAAGGTAAAAGGATATAGAAATAGTTCTATATGACTTGTAGGTTTGGTAATGAATACAGTGTTTTTACTTGGAAAATCTCCCCTTCTTACTCTCGGATCATATATCTGCGCATATGTTGTATTGTATAAAGTGAGTGATGGTAAGTTTAAGTCTGATGGTCCAAAGACAAAGGCCAGGAAACTCCTCTCAACCACACGATGACCACAGTTTCAGAGAATGCACTTCCCTTCAAAAGTGGGTAAGCACAGTAGACGGCAGTTTCTGAAAACGAGTGAGAGAGGAGAACAAAAGTAGTGCTTTGTGTGTTTCAGAATTTCACGTTACTCTCATTTTGAGTCTTGTGTAATTCTCCGATCCTCTGTGGATAGATAGAAAGCAGAACGATAGCTCATAGCATAGATACCATCTAAAAAGAGTTCAAAGTTAATTTGTCACATTTGAAATAGACATTAAAACAGTCTCACCTTCACTGTTGTTCTGGAGGTTTTGATCATATCCACAACCTTCCAGGGTTAGCGTTAGGATTAGCCTCAGTGAAATGTGTACAGGTTAAATACACATTTCACGGAACATGAACACTCATCTGTCTGTTTCATCTTTTTTGTTATTTCATGTAAAAAATGAATAAATAAAAATGGATAGATTAACTTTCCTTTCACGGAAAAGTAAAACCAATTTAAGAGAATTTATTTAATTAAATGTTTCAAGTAGTGGGGTTATTTAACAGTTAACTTTGATATCCAAACGCCACCTGAAAATTATCTTCTTGTAAATAATACCTACAGTCACTGTGTCACGACACAAAACTATTTTAAAAACTTGCAAATACGCATTTCAGAACTACATTCATGGATACTGGGAGCATTCATATCATTTGCTGGAGTGGTTAAAAGGTAATTTATAAGTAAAAAGGAGCTGATATATATATAGAACATAATCTAAGTGTAGAAGAAAGTACCCATTCTGAAGAACTTCTCTTTTAAACTTTTTCTTGGACTTTTATTATCCAGTGATTTAATTCTCTGTCCCTTAGCAGCATTTTAGTATCATACTGGTGGGACTACATTGTCAGGCGGCTACACTGTGTAATTTAAATGTTATTATTTAATATTTTATGCAAAGAAACTGTAGCTTTAGCCGATATTTCTCTAATAGATTTGATAAACAGCGCTATGGCCAGGCTACCGTGTTACCCTGCCCTGTGGGGACTGGTTGGCATTGCTCATTGTTTTCCAAGTTTGAGCATGAGTGAAAACAAAGCAGACATAAACCACAACCACCTCCTCCTCAACACGAGGAAAATAATAATAATAATAATAATGCCACCTCCTCTTCATTGACGTTATCAGTCAGTTGGTCAAGAACATGCGTAATTAGTCATGCCTGAATGGACACCCGGTTGTATCTGTTGGGGAGAACGTCCGTGGAATTAATTACCACAAGTGAATGAGGCGCTTACTCACCTAATGACAGTCCACTGACAATTTACCACCACAGACCACAATGTTGGTTTGGCCCCTGCTATGATTAGTTTACTATCAGCCGCTCCTTTTTACCAACAGTTGGGTTATTTTATTTCTGTTTTTTATGATTTATTCTGCAACCAGGTCTGCAGGAATCAATAACTGTGCACCTCACAAGCACAGACTGCTGCAGTGAATAAAATGGTACACGTGCACTGCATCTTTATAACACTGCACACTTTCTGAGAACAGGCTGCGCAGTGCATGCGCTTCAATGTACTGAAAATTTTGCTTAAAAAAATAATTTCCCTTCATCGTCATCCATCCGTGTTGTTTTGATTTGATGCAAATATGCAAACGCCGTCACTTGACTATACTTTGATATGTTGTGGGTAGGGCGTCGTCAGCTTCCAGGACTGTGGGCTATATATAGTCTGAAAGTAAAGGCACTGGACATGGATGCTGAACGAATCCCAGCTTGTATAGTTTATCGAAAGTGCCCCTCATAGATGCTTCTTGTCAATCTGCAACAATCACATCGGCAAACTCCTTGTTTATTTTCCCCTAATATAAAAAAGATCTCAACGATTACCTCACTAGAAGGTTATTCATCATTGTGGACTTTTTTACACCTTGGTACATAGGAAATGCTCTCATAAATCGCGCATTAATTTTTCCCAGAGCTGGGTATTTAAGACTATTAATCAAAGAGAGAGAGAGAGAGAGAGATCTTTTGTTTTTCTTTCAACCATACAAAAAATTACATAATGATGTATGCTTTTAGTTTTAGTTAAGGGAATCCCCCCCAGCTATTAAGTATATAAACCCCAGCATCATACGGAGACTGAAACAGTGCTGATTTACCACGCTCTGACCAAGTTCCCTATCTGATCAGCAGTCTTATGGCAAACATTCAACTATGTAAGTCAGATAGGCTGTTATTTAAATTGCTCTGTTGCGTGCTCGTGCAAGCTGGGTGTCGTAATGCCCGTGTAGACTCGTGCGTTGACGGCTGTTTCTCTCTTTCCTTGCAGATGTCGCCAGCTGTGTGCTGCTGCTGTCCCTGAGCTGGCGCACATCCGAAGCTCTCCCGGTGCCCGCACCGAGCCCGGGGACCGGCGGTCAGTGCGCCGACTTCTACAAGATGCTCCTGCTGAACATCTCAAAAGCTCTGGACAGCGTGAGTACAAATCTCAGCAGCGTGTGATTTTTGCTTGATTTTCCTCCCTTTTTTTTCCTCGGTATCTGTGTCGTTTATCCGTGATTATTCTACTCTGTAGCAATAATTTCTTTACTGTGTATTACAGATTTATTTGAGTGATGGTATCCAATCGGAAAAAATTGAGATGAGGAATACTGGGGAGACAGTACTGGCCTGTGCACCCACTCTGACTCAGGTGAGCCTTTTCTCAAAGCAGCACAGTTTATGGGGACAGCTGACAGCTGTCATAATTTCAGCTCGGCTTTCACTGTGTTTTAATTGGTTGGGCAACTTCAAATGACTGTAGTGTAAACATTGCTGATTTTAAATGTCTGTTTGTTTTCCTGCACAGAACTTAGGTTGCGTGACACAAAGAAATTCTTCCTTCAGTGAGGTCAGTGTCAGACACACTGTATATTCTATAAAAAAAGAAGCTATGATTCATATGCATGTGTTGGTATTGTAGCTGAAACTGAACGGGGTTTTCCCATTGTTTTGACAGAGTGAATGTCTGAAGAACATAAAGAAGGACCTGCTCTACTATCACGAAGCGATTGCATCTTACCTCACAGGTCCTCTCAAAAATGGTCCAGAGGAAATTAGACTTCTGAGCCCAATCGTGGAAATCACAAAGAATCTCACAGAGGTGTGTTTATCTTGTAATTTCTTTTTTAAAATTGAGACATTGAGACTTCAAGGTGAAATAGTTTGAATCTCCTGGGAAGTACTTGTCTAACTAAATATTCCTCGGTTTATACAGAACTGCTTTCCGCAGCTGGACGTAGAGAACCTGCCCTCAAAGGTATTTTTATATTCTTTGTTCCATATTTACACCTTGTCTTTCAGTCTTTAGGATCACTGATCTTGAGTATTTGGGGTTTCTTTTCCTGAGACCTTATTGTCCTGCATTCACACTCTATCCTCTCCTGTTGTAACAGGATGCCAAAGTGTGGGGCAATGAGTCCTACAATAACCGGCTGGAGATGAATAAGATGATGAAAGGCTTCCACATCAGAGCCATCACTATCAACCGAGCCATTGGCTACATCTCCTCGGGAGACCACAGGAAGTAAACGTCCTGCAACCTCTTCGACTTCAGCCTCATCAAATAATAGCACAACAAATATCAAATCTCTATGATCACATCAGAACAAGCTGTCCTAATTAGTCACTACCATCTCTTTCAACTAATGACCAAGTTCTACAATGTACCTGCTGCACAACTGTCTGCACTGAAGGAAGTTTACTCAGGCATAAGCTAGCTGGTTCAACTCCAGTATCTTCATTCAGTAAGTGCTGAAGAATGTTCAAATTATCGTTACGCTTAGGCGTGAGTTATAATGATTTTATTTATTTATTTATTGCATCTATTTATTTATTTGATCTCCAGTTGTATTATTTATTGTTATTTAAATAAAGTATTTTGTTATCAAGCATCAAAGTTGAAGTGATTTTGATTGAAACTGTTCACCATCAGTTAGAAGTTAAGAAATGCAGTAAAAAAGAGACATGTAAGACACTTTCGGTTGTTTCCTTCAGTCAATAGCGCTTCGTTATTTCATCTCTTCTGCCAAGGCTACTGCCTGTTTCAAAATATACAAAAAGTAAATGAAGGGAACACCTGAACAATCTTAACTTTGATTTTTGTCTCGAGCTCGAATCCCACCCTTAAAGGACAGATGATTTTGTTTTCCACAGTATTCAGTTCTTCATGATCTGATTTGTCTCCTTTTATTTGAACAACGTTCTAATAATATTACGTAAAAACTAATCAGCTGAAACTTGGTGAGACACGATCAAAAGCAGGAACTATTCTGTTTTGGTGTGAATTCGGATCACTTTCCTTAAAATGATGAAACAAACAGTGATTTCACTTGTTTTATAAAAAGTCTTTGGAGATTCTGACATGATTTAAAAAGAAAAGGAAAAAACAACAACAACAACAACAACAACAACAACAACAAACACATTTGTAACAGGGATAAATTGGACTGTTAGTGGTATTTTTCTTTTAAGGAAACAACCCTTTTCTCTGAATGAAACATTGTGGTTTTCTCAAATAATGTTTACAAAAACATTTGCAATTGGTACCTGAAAGATTTCCACAGATGTTCCTGCTGATTTTATTGTACTTAATCGTACCTGAGGTCTAGATCTGCGAAATAATCCTCAAAAAACTGAATTAAAATATACGTTGCTTAGTTTTAGCTGCACTCACACAGGTAAAACACCTAAATTTATCCCTGAATCCCAACATGCTGCATTTTTGTTTTTCATAAAGATTACACATTTGGGGGGAAAAAAAAAAAAAAAGAAAAGAAAAGAAAAGAAATGCATTCAAGCCTCCGGAGGGCAGGACGTAATTCCCAGTTAAACATAATCAGCATCATTTTCTGGTCCTCGTGCACAGCTGTTTTACAGAGTCACGGTTATCGCATCAAATAAAGGACATGTAGACAAAAAACAGACATAACTGGCTTTAAAAAAAAACATGAGTGACAATGAAATGGAATCTATTTACAGGAAATAGTGCGGACAAGTTTATAAAAACACAAACTAGTTTCATAGTTCAGTCTGTAATTCTGTGGACAGTCATTTTCACGTCCACGTGATATAATGCCTAATTGTTTTATAAAAATTCCCACAAGCCCAACATTCAAAAGTGAAAGAACACACACAAATGGATGGATTTTTCAGATGTCTTTGCAGTTTCAACACTGCAGCACCAAACATTTACATCTGTTACTGGCTACATAATTAGCTACTAAACATCTCAATGACCTCTACGCCTCTACTGGTCATTTTTTTTACCTGCTTAAAGATAAAGGTAAGCTCATTTATTTCTGTATCCTTAGATACAGCACAGTTGGTTCTGTACTCACCACAGAACCCAAGAAAACTACAGCTGACCTAAAGAAGGGAAACAAAAGGAAATGATTCCTTTTTATGAAATGCAGAACTATAAACAAATCAGTTTCATATCTAGAAAATATTCAAAGAGAAATGCAAACTGAAGGGAGACGTTAACTCTGCTCTGTTGTGTTCCTGAGATCGTTTCTTCCCGCCGATGATATCCAAGAGTAATGGAATTCATTTTCATTTTCCCTTTCACTTTACCGCTTCGTTAACCATCATATCTGAAAACAACAAACAACAAATAATGAATTAAGATTCTGTACCATCCTTTGAGTTTGAATTTTCAGTGCTCTTCACCTAAAGAGTGAAAGAGCTGCTGAGACAGTAATATTTGTACTGCAGTACATAGAATCGGTAGGATTGTCATGCATACTTTATTTAGGTAAGTAGCAAGAAGTTTCAGCTCATCGCAAACACAACTACTCTGATGAGTTGGCCTCTGGGAGCCTGTCCCATTCTACGGTTCCTGGAAATGAGCCTTTTGTATTTCTGGTTCCCCTGTCCTAACCGTGATGGGTTTTAGAACAGTTTTTTGGTTAGATGCCTGAAATAAAGTCAGTGACTAACAGAAGCTTGGAGTATTTTTTACAGTTTGTTTTAGAGTAAAAGTTGTTCGTTAACAAGCGGTTTCATGATCCTTCAGACATTCACGTCATCACACTGAACATGCCTAAGTTATAAACTCCGATGTTAGGATTTTACTTTTCTCCAAGAATCGCAAACTTGCGAGTCTCATTTGGTAAAAGATTTTAATTATTTACACCTATTAAAAAGTAAAAATATACTAAAAGAAAAAACCCAAAACACATAAAAGTACAAGAATTGGTCAAGATTGTCTTGCTGAATGAAACACGTACAGTCATAACCTTTTATTTCCCAGTTTTGTTTTGCAATTATCCACGAAGTGGAAAAGTCCCACTGTTTTTTTTGTTTGTTTGTTTTCAAAGGGAACCAGGTGTGGTCCTCAGTCCCAGGGTTAGCCTACAAAAATACATCAAATAAAATATGTCATCTCACTAGTACTGTATTTTTCTGGGCTTTTGGTGTATCCAGGGGATATCTGGACTAAGATTTTCCTTTCCACCAGCTAATATTTGTTTGACTAATGCAGAAAAACAAGATAAATCATCAGCAGACCATAGCTGATGGTTATCTGATGCATTTTCTCAAATGGCATCCATCTTTTGTGCTCCGTGGAAAGGACTGTTTATCTGCATGTAACCGAAGCTTGCTCAAACATTACCAGCTTATGCATACTGATAACAAAAGGCTTGTCCCTTTTGTACAGATTCAACATGAGCCTGTGCAGATGGCTATTTGTATACACTGCTCTAAAAAATGAAAAGGAACACTTTTTAATCTGAGCAAAGCATCAAGTCAGTTAAAGTTCTGGGATTTTGTCCTGGTCAGTTAATCAGCAGAGGGTGTTGTTAATCGGTTTCAGCTGCTTTGGTGTTAATGAAATAAACAACAGGTGTTGCAAGAGGAGGAACAATGAGACAACCCATAAAACAGGAATGTTTTACAGGTTGAGGACACTCGCATTTTTTCCCTCCTCATCTTTTCTGACTGTTTTTTCACTAGTTCTGTATTCGGCTAGGGTCAGTGTCACCGCTGGTAGCAGTTGGCCATACCTAGACCCAGCAGGTCAATACGTGCCTTTGCAATTGACCGGCAGAGTCTCAAGAGCATGGAGGAGATTCCAGGAGACTCGTATTTAGCAAGCTTACCCTGAGCATGTGTGAGAGAGGCTGGAGAAGCCGTGGAGAAGGTTATGCTGCTTTTAACGTCGTTCAGTTACCCGTTAACCGGTTTGGTGGTGGGTCAGTGATGGTCTGAGAGACGCACGAACCTCTGCAGGTTAGGCAACGGCACAATGACTGCAGTTAGATATCATGATGAATTCCTTGAATCGTATTGTCACACCCTAGACTTGTGCAGTGGGTACTGGCTTCCTCCTGCTGCCCGGTCACACGTGGAGAGGCTATGTAGGTGGTTCCTGGAGGATGAATGCATTGATACCCCCGACTCGCTGCCTGACTAAATCCAATCGAGCACCTCTCAGGTGTTCAGTGATGCCCTAGTCCAGATATGGGAAAAGATCCCTCAGGATACCAAGCATGTGTGGGTCATACAAACTACTTCCTGGAATAAAATTTTGGTAACACAGACTAGTCTGCTGGATTATTTTTTTACTTTGATTTTTGGGGTGTCCCTGAATTCAGCCCTCTGTAGGTTGATCAGTTTGATTTTCCATCTAACAACAATTTGATTGGTTGACTTTTACATGCCTGCTCTTCACGAGCATTCATCACCATCTTAAATTGTTTAGGTTTGCAGTGTTGTACCTTGTAATGTCTGATGAACCTCATTTGGCAAGTCATCCAGCTCCTTCACACTTTCCAAAAGATTCCTAGCCGTGGCTTCTCCAGAATTCCTGTTCTTCCACATCAACAGCATCTTCAACTTCTGCATGGTCACATCTGTCTCTGCTGTCTGGATATTATCCAGCTCCTTGGAGGTAACATCTAGAAAGATAGCCACCTGTTTCCACTCCTTCCCGAGCCGCTTGGCCACCTGTAGCAGCTGCTTCTCTGACATGTCCTGGCCCTGAGTGGCCGCTGTTTTCACTCCATCTGGAGAAAGATGCACATAAACACATGGGTATTTGTTTTTAGTAAGATTTTAGGCATATCTGGAATAGTTCAGGTGTGAACTGTTGACTTGGCCATAAAGTTGTTCATGAAGTTTTGCTGAAATCACAGTCAGACACTTAAAGATACCTGGCTCGTCTTGCATTCGAGTTCTTTTAAAGGCTAGTTCGTCTTCTGAGGGGCTGCTGCTTCTCTGTCTGCCTATTTCAGAGACAGATATAACATCAGTTAATGTTTTCAAGCTAAAAACGTGCTAAAGTCTAATCGGATTACAAAAAAGTGAAAGAGCCAGCATACTGTTTGTCCTTTTCCGCGGCTTCTTCTCAGTGTTATCCACACAGTCACCTAAGGGAAGAGCAAAAGATGGACGTGGACCAGTGAATCCTTTTTGGTTTATTCGGTTTTCGGTCAACATAAACACAAACTTCCAAAAGACAAAAGTGTCTCCAAAGTAAGACTCATGCACCGGTACCTTCTCTGATGGTAGCAGACCATACAGTCTCCTCAGTGTTAATCTCTATGAGAGACAATTTAAATGGAGGGTGCTGCTCAAAGAAAGCCTCAAAGTAGCCCTTCATCTTAGTGACTGCAAGGGTGAATTTCAGTTCCTGTACAGAGACACACAGACACAACTTAGCTGTGTAGTCAGTGAAATACAAAAGCAAAATCTTATAAATGAGATCAAATCAAAAAGCACCTTTGGACGAGTCTGAACTACTTCTAGCTCTCCTGCTATTTTTAGATCTTTCTGTGGAAGTCCAGTTCTAACCAATGTGTCTTGTGCAGACATCAAACTTCACTGTCAACCTGGCGAGACTTTCCCGTCGTGGATTAGCAAAGATAATGAAAGCTGGCTTTCCAGCTATGGCCAACAGACCAAGTAGCATTTTCTAGTTAAAGAATCCACAGGAAAGGAACATGTTTGTCTTTCTTTTAGCCACCCAGATATTCATCAGGTTGTTTGTTGTAAATTTGTCATTGCAGACTCTAATGCTACTCTAATCTCCTCAAGTATCTGAGGGAGAACATTTGATGAAGTCTTCTTCTCCAAAAAATAATATTTCGTATTAGAGTCACCATTTTTGCACCAAGGAGGAGAAGATCCAGCTTGCCTTGCTGGCTGAACGTGGACAGAATGGGACTAACACTGAGCAATCAAAAATAGCAGCAGTGCTGGAAGCCGCCCTGAGGTGCACAGGGAGATCGCATTGAAAGCCCAAATTTAAGACGTGTAAGGTTTTTGCTTTTTGATCCACGTAAATTGCAGATTTGTTGAGAGACACACACCTGAGGTTTGATGTCTCCCTCCGGCTCGCTCAGGAGACGATACGTTCCCTCGTCCAGCTTGC